CTTCTCATTTTGTGAAATTTCTTCTTATAGGCAATTCGCAGGAGTTTACTACTAGCCGTGGTGATTCTAACGGCGTTAGGCAACGTTCACGGCCGTCATAAAGTACACAAATGGGAAACAGTAGAGTATTCCGCCATAAGTTGCAGAGCACACACCGCTTCATTGACGAATTTTGGTGGAGTTGGTGACGGAACGACGTTGAACACTAACGCTTTTAAAACGGCCGTTGATCATCTGAGTCGGTTTCAATCAGACGGTGGTTCGCTACTGTATGTACCAGCCGGAAAATGGTTGACGGGGAGTTTTAATTTGACTAGCCATTTTACTCTGTTTCTCGACAAAGATGCCGTTCTTCTCGCCTCTGAGGTAACGTTTTGTTCTTAGCCAATTCCTCCTTTTTTTTGGAATCGGTTATCAACTTTTGAATACATGAATTAATGTGCTTCACCAATAGATAATTTTTACATGCATTTGTTATTAAAATTTAATGGGTTCAACTCTGCACATAATTAATTATACCGTTAAAAACATAAAATTTTGGGTTCAAATCTAATATTTGTTGAGATTTTAGTAGATTTTCACATATACTGTATTCCGTGTCGAAAGTTATGAGTTAAGATAAACCCGTAGCCCAAATGCTACATCCTCCCCTGATTGCATCGTATTCATAGGCGGATCGAGAATTTAAATTTTGTGGGCTTAGCTTTTAAAATTGCATAAATTAAACTCATTGTACTATTAAAATTATGGGTTCAAATCAAATACTTGTTGAGATTTTAATAGATTCTTACATATTAATTTATACTCTATATCGAAAGTTATATGTTCAATTAAGCCCATAGCCAAAAGATTACATCCGTCCTTGTCCGTCCTAAAAAGAACGATATTACAATATTATTACTAATTGAGTGTTAATATTGAAGGAGCAATACTTTCCCGACTAAACCAGATTTGAAAAATTAATTTGCGTGTTAGATAGAGGAACCATTTTGTACCGAAACGTACTAATCAGACTAAATCATATATGCACCGTGTAAGATCGATCTAATGGGAAAATACTTTTTATATAAAGTTTCTTATTTTCATACCTCAAATTCGAAACCTCTCTTATGAATATAATGGAATTTAATTATTCCGTCACACCGCTTGATTGTGACAATGGCTAAAATGTAACACTAGTATAGCGGTGAGAATGTATTTTTAGAGGTGCCGGCACCAGCTTCATGTGACCTACACTATAATTTTAGAGATAATCCTTTAGGATAGTTCAGTATTAAATACAACTAGATGTTTAAATAAGCCTCTTATGAGTTAATATTTGTAGTATATCTTATTTTCCAGTCCGTGAATGCAATCGGCTGAGAATGGTACAAAAGGCGCACTATGCGGTGAGAATATCGTTCGGTTAATGAGTCCAAATCCATGATAACATTAATTCAAGAATTGTACGTTCCGCAGAACAATAGTAATACTTAAGTGAAAAAGAATGGCAAAATACCTTACACCACCCTAAACTTGGCTCAGATTATTATTGTTCTCCCTGAACGAGGTAATTGGACCGGGCATAGTTCGGAGAGGACACTAATAATCTGAGCCAAGTTTAGGGGCGGTCTAAGGTATTTTGCCAAAAAGAATCAAGTAATGGAGCGAAAATGGGTTGTTTTGAAATATAGCCTAGTTATTTCGTTTTTCTTTCCTTATATATTTTATTATTTCATATTTTTTGAAATTTATGTGATAATTTTATATAAGTTTGTTAAAAAAGGTATTTTCATATTTGAAAAATAATTTACCTTTAAATTTCACTTTTTGCTCTTTATTAGAAGCTTTTATAGCTACATAAATGTTATAGTATATTTAAGAGTACAAGTTTTAACCGTCTTAATTTTCTTTATTAAGCTCGATATCGAGTCAAACTAAGTCACATTAAATACTAATTTTGAAGAGCAAGGTTAATTCTTATGATCTTATCCGATTTTGTCTTCTCCTTCGTGATATCCCCAGCTAGTAGCAACCAGTGGCGAAGCCAGAATTTTCTTCAAGGGTGTTCAAATTTGAAATAAGGGGAAAAAGTTTCTGACAAAGAGTGTTCAATATATGTTATTTACCTCTAAAACCTAATATTTTACCTATATACACAGTATAATTTTTCGACGAAGGGTGATCAACTTCGCCCCTGGTAGCAACCACCCAAAAGAACTGAAGTTAAATTAAAGAAAGATGCCCATAACGAGTCACGTCATAGTTTCTAAAGTAGTACAACTAGCTAATACTGATAATCTAGGATGGGGGCAACAAACGTGGATGATTAAGCCGAGGATACTGTTGATATTTTCAGAATTATTCATCACGTGAACTAAGTTTTGTCCATTTTCTATAACTTGGGGATCGCATTCAAAGCTACCATATATGTGGTCTTTCATAGTATGTTATTGGTAGCATCTGGGGAAGGTCCAAGAGTATCACATGCTTGGTCGGTCTTGCCCAAGGTTTAGTGAGTAAAATTGCTCGGTAACTGTGTTGATAGTAGTGTTATCAAAGGCGAAAAGCATAAAAAAGCTCTAAGGTGACTTGGGGCTTTAAGCGCAAAGCGCGAATAAAATGTGAATTTTAATAAGGAAAGGCGCAAATAGAGAAAAAAATACAAATATATATATAGTCCAAGACTAATGATTATAAGCATGAATAATAAATATATGGACAACGAAATTGAAAAAATTACGATAAATTGAAATATCAATTGTCTAGTGTCACCTCTTTAAGATTACGCTCATTGGCAAGGAAAAGTATGCCTTAGAGCCTTGACGACAAACTGAAGCACCAGCTAAGGCGAGGCGAAGCGCTCAACATGTATTGAGCCTTGCTTCAGGGCTTAAGCGTGCCTTTGACAACAGTGGTTAGATATGGGGTAATGAATACCCGGTGAAATAATAGAAATGCACACAAGTTGATCTGACACATGAACCTTCATCCTACACAAATTTTGGAAAAAAAGTTCCTTATTCTAATTTTATCTAGTTTAGAATCTCAGTTACTTCAGTGACACTCAAAAAAAACATTTATTGTCATTCAGAACAAATGGGTTTCAATGGAAATTTTGTGTTTTTTACCCTTCCAATTCTTCTATCTCACTGATTTCCTGTTCGTTCTTCCCTCCGGTTAGGACGAAAATGATTATCCGGTGATTGCGCCGCTGCCGTCCTACGGTCGAGGAAGGGATAATGACGGAGGTAGATTCATTAGTCTTATATTTGGAACCAACCTCACTGATGTTGTCATCACAGGTACTCTCATTTTATATCACTGTTGCATTTCTCATATCGAAAATCTATGTTTGAATTCACATCGAAAATTTGTTGCTGGAACTCTTAATACGGCTACTTTTTTGGTTAGGTTATTGTCCATTGCCATTTTAAGTAACGGAATATTTCTTTTGATGTCATTTTGTTTGCTAAATCATGTAATTTTACTTTGAAATTCACTCAGGGGAAAATGGAACGATTGATGGCCAAGGGCAGCTATGGTGGGACAAATTCCACAAAAAAGAACTACAATATACAAGGCCATATCTGATAGAAATCATGTACTCTGATAATATTCAAATTTCCAGTCTTACATTGGTTAATTCTCCTTCATGGAATGTCCATCCTGTATATTGCAGGTAGTCAAATTAATCTTGACTTCCAATAGTTCAATATTGTTTTCTTCTAGATCAATAATAACTAAGGCAAAAAATTCGATTTCTTTGTGATATGCAGCAATATTATTATCCAAGGCATCACTATTCTTGCACCAGTCAGATCTCCAAATACTGATGGGATTAACCCTGGTAATCTTGCATTAGTGTTTACTAATGTTTTAATTAGTTTGAGTGACAATAAGGTTTCATATAACAGGTAACCTACGTTATTTTCTAGGTTACTAATCGTATCTTTTTTGGACAAATTTACAGAGCCAATGTATTAAAGTTAAACTCTTATATTATACTATGCAAAATAACAAGGTTTCCTTGTCAAGCTTTTGCCACTCCAGCCTTTTGGTTATTATTAAGTTTTTGACTAAAACTAAATGTTATTTGCAGATTCTTGCATAAATACTCGAATAGAAGACTGTTACATTGTCTCTGGAGATGATTGCATTGCTGTTAAGAGTGGCTGGGACGAGTATGGAGTTGCATTTGGGATGCCAACAAAGCAGCTCGCGATAAGGCGAATCACCTGCATTTCTCCAACCAGTGCTACAATTGCATTAGGCAGTGAAATGTCTGGAGGAATTCAGGATGTAAGGGCAGAGGACATAGTAGCAATCGATACAGAATCAGGGGTTCGAATCAAGACTGCAGTAGGACGAGGTGGATACGTGAAGGATGTATATGTTAAAGGTGTGACCATGAAAACCATGAAATATGTTTTCTGGATGACAGGAGATTATGGTTCTCACCCTGATAACAATTATGATCCGAATGCATTACCTGTGATCGACAACATCAATTACCGTGATATGGTTGCTGAGAATGTGACTATTGCTGCCAAGCTTGCAGGAATTTCTGGTGATCCGTTCACTGGAATTTGCATATCAAATGTCACGATAGAGATGGCGCCTAAAGCAAAGAAACTGGCTTGGAATTGTACAGATATTTCGGGGATTTCAAGTGGTGTAGTACCTCAGCCTTGTGAGTTGTTGCCAGATCAGGGAACAGAGAACGTTGCGCCCTGTAATTTTCCAACAGAGAACTTACCAATTGATGATATGAAAGTTCAGACGTGTTCCTGCAGGAAGAAAATATATTAACACATCAAGACATGGAAGGATGATCATATTATAATCAGTCAGATCATTCTGTTGCTTACACCTCTTAACTGTGGATGATATACACTAGCGATCCTGTTACACTTTGGGGACGAGTCATGCTAATATCTGTAACTTTTACATAATTTTAAATACCATCAGTTATTGCAGCCAAAATTTCAAGGACAAATCAATGAATCATAGCAAGAAGATTGTTGGTGAATACATGTTGAACCATAATTAAGCTCTTTTAGTGTTTTACAAGAACTGAATAGTCATTGAACAGAACCAAGATACAATGTTGATTTAAGACCTTGGCAAACACCAGCACTCTTGATAAATATCTCACATTGAAGTACAGAAATCGTGATATCAGTTTTAAGTCAGCTCTCTCTTCCCGCTAAACATAACTTAAAAAATGTATAGAAGCAAGAAAAATACTTCCTACATATGATACATAATCCAGGACAACCCGTCATATTTTTAGTTCAACAAAGTCTGGGTAGAACTTCACAGACTCCTTCCAAATCAGTTCCTTGATATTTTCTTCAGTGATTGAGGGCTGCTCAAAATCAAAACTGAAAGGCCTGGGACAAAATGGCTCATCGTTGATGTCATGAAGAGATGACAAAAATGGGTGACAAAGAGCCTCATCAACTGCACATAGAGAAAGAAAATTGAACATACATGAGGTAAACAGGATGGACTAAAAACGAAAATAAAATCATGCAAAGGGTGAGGTCAGAATTTCGTTGCTTTACCTGTAATTCGTCGGGTTGGGTCAAAGACAAGCATCTTTTCAAGTAAATCAATAGCCAAAGGTGACATGTTGGGAAATCTTGCAGAAAATTGTTGCTTAGGATATTCAGGAAGCTGTCGGACATATCTTCGGGCATTATCACTTCTCAGAAATCTAAGGCTGGCATCATCAGGAGAACCTAGTAGCTTCAAGAGAGAAGAAACATGATTGAAGCTGGGAACAGTAAGACAAACTGCTTCAGAACCAGATAAAAAGTCCCATATATTTTTCTTGAACCCGTTGTGAAAATATGAAATGATTTAGTTATATTCAATGAACATTTGAAAGTATTATCTGCATGAAATTACAGCATAGTGCTGGCTATGGCAGTGGAAATCACTCTCAACTCCCAACTTCAGAGAAAGGGAATGCTTAAGACTAGTTTCAACTTAAAAAGGAGGGAAATGAAAAAGAAAAGAGGTTATTTCAGGAAAACTGCGGATCAACTTCTTTACACCTTCAAATAAACTTTTTTTTCTTAATCAGGTTCGCTAAAGGACTTTGAGAATGTATTGCAAACCATGAAAGAGCCAGACATGACCTTTTACCTCAGTAATGAGTCTCAGCTGATGTACATAATCTTTTCCGGGAAACAAAGGTTCTCTTGTCATTATTTCACCGAGAATACAACCAACCGACCAAACATCAATTGCGGCCGTGTATTCCGAACAGTTAAGGAGCAGTTCAGGTGCCCGATACCAACGAGTGACAACATATTCAGTCATGAAATCTGTCTCAGAAGTTGTCCTCGCCAAACCAAAGTCACCAATCTTGAGGTCGCAATTTGCATTTAGGAGCAAATTGCTTGGCTTAAGATCACGATGTAAGACATTTGCTGAGTGTACATATTTAAGTCCACGTAATAGCTGATACATGAAGTACTGCAAAATTAAGTCAAATGTTATCCAACTATTAAACCCAGGTAAGGTACCAGCAATATGCCAGCATTACTTTAGGAAAGAAAGAGGAATATCAAATGCTCCCAGTGAAAGCTAGAGCAACTTCCAGGCATTCCTCCATGTTATTAAGAGAAAATACTGTATAATCCTAAAAATCAAGCTTAGCATGCCAGAGTAAGGCCAGGATTACAACAACAAGATTCATAACATTGTTGGGAGAAGGAACAGAGTCATTGTTGTGCCTTTGTATCTATTAATGGAGTTAGAGACATCTAAATATAATTTGAGAGATAAGAGGAAAGCCCTCTCTCGAATTCGAAGATGTAACACAAATAATGACTCTCTTCGCAGGGACGGCTCCTAGTATTGGTGAACGATCTCCTCTACATGTTATCTTTGGACGTTTTACTCTCTTTCAAAGAGATGACTATTCAAACCTCAGAGTATTCAAATGCACGTGCTTTGTTTAAATTCCATCTCCTGCACAAAACAAACTGAGCCCTACATCTTATTCTATGTGTTTTCTTGAGTGAGGTTGAGGTACCCTAATGCTTCCTAGAAATGATTATCAGTAACTGTCACCTCCAAGTATTTGATGAATAATAATCCAATTCATATTTTATTTTACAGCACAGAATAACAACTGTGTTGAAGTCACGGTATAAGTACAAATGGAACAAAAGATGGAAAGAGTAGCTTATACCAGACAGAGAACCAAGTAAAAAGAGAAAGGAATTATTCTTCAACTTACACATCATATCACATTAAAGAACGGCCATCAATTCTGCATTAACAACGCCAATACTTAAGGTAGAGCTCACTCTCTACTTAGACAACAATGTTTTCAGCAAAATAAGACTTATTTTAATCTACTATATCCTTCCTTAAACAGAATATTACACACACTAATCCCTCAAACAGGACACACATACGGACATAAGATTTTCTCAAGTTGATTAACTAGGAAATCATGTTAAAACAGCAGCCAGACTTGCAGAAGTACTATATGCATAGTTTGTTTCTAAATCTGATTAGCTTCAGACATGTCAACTATGCCTCAATTTAGAACTGCCTCAATTTCAGATTAGCTTAGGACTTCGGCGTCGACTATTTGAAGAATCAAAGTAGAATATAATGTTAAGCATTTTTAGCCAAATCATTGATATCTAATAACAGCATTTTCAAGGAAGAGAAAAACCTGACAGTGATCATTTGTCAAAGATTGTTCAGACCGAATAATCTGATGAAGATCAGTATCCATTAGTTCATAAATTATGTACACATCATTGAAAGCCTCTTTCTTTGGCGGCCTTATGATGTCTTTGATTGCAATAATCTGAAAAAATTTAACAAAAAATTAAAGCACTCAAAAATGAAGCAACAAATCAAATTCATTCACGTACTAATCACAGGATAGGAGGAATCCTCTTACATTTTCGTGATCCATGTGCCGAAGTAGTTTAATTTCTCTCAATGTCCTCTTCGCATCAATTCTATTATCAAATGCATTTCCTATTTTCTTAATCGCAACTTCCTCACGTGTCTCTGAATTTATAGCAGCACTAACAAATAGCAAAGAATAAGAAGCAGTTGTTCCATCATATCCCCCAAACATGGCAAGTATAAGCAAGAAATCAGTACAAGGAGATTCGAGTGAAAACATTATTAAGTAAATAAAAATATCTTCTTTAACAACTTACACTTTTAGACAAACAGTTCTAACGACAAAAATAATCTGTCATACCAATGTTTTAAAAGGCCGGGAGCGAGAGGCGAGGCGTTTTAACTCTAACGAGGCGAGGCATAAGCCCTGAGACATGGGGCGTAACTCCCATAGATCTTCAAATTTTACTAATTTCAAGAATTTTAAGATAGTATAAAGTAAAAAGTAATTATAAAAATTACATTAAAATCACAAAATTATAACAAATAATCTATTTAAAATATTTATAAATTTTAATTCAACTATGAATAATATAAAAAGTATGACATATATCATAATATGCAAATTAGCTGCATCAAAAGTAATGTATTCGATACAAAATCTTATATGTATCTCTTAAGGAGTAATGAATCTTGAAAGAATTTCGATATTATAATTTGATATTTTTCTTAAAATGCTCCTTTTATTTAATATGCTTTCTATTTGAAAGAGAATTTATACAAAAACATAATTCACAATTTAAATATGATTTCCTAGCATCATTCATTTTTAAATTTCAACAAGTTAATAAAGTGACACATAATTCACCACAATACCATGATAACTAATTATTTGTAAATAGTTACTAGCTAATATTGAGCTATTAAATTAATAAGTATTATAGTAAACGTGAAAAAATAATATTTAAAAAAATAATTATGGAGTAAAAAAAATTATGGACTATTGTATAGTAAAGACATAACAAAAGTTAATAAATAAATACTTTTTGAATGAAAGATTTATTTAAAATTACCTATCATAGCATTCTTAGTGGATAATGTGCAATAATTTTTATTTTAATGATGACATAAAATACTCTCAATTTAATGATTTATAATTAAGAAAAAAGTAATTTTGAATAGTCAACGATTAATTAAGAAAATTTGAGGATTTACAAGGTTAGTTATATAAAATTGCATAAAGTTCTATTAGGCGAGCCCAGTAAGCTGGGGCGTTGGGCGTGTTCGGAGCGTAAGCCCCGATGGCCGTGGCGTAAGTCTCACGGAACTATGTCCCACACATAAGCCCAGGGGCGTTTTACGAGTGCTCCGCCCCGGGGCGAGTCCCAATTCCGCCTTTTAAAACAGAGTGTCATACACATAAAGAGCATGTAAAATCTCATTTTATGTGGCACACTTTTTTTTCTGGTTTGTCCCAAAGGAATAACACATTTCTATGTTTAGAAACTAGACTTTGAACTTCCCAATTTACCTTAATGAGATGATTCATAGTCACATAAATATGATAACTTTTTCACCCTACAAGTTCCAAAAGTTTTTCTCTCTTTCTTAAACGACATGCAAAGTCAAACACGGTCATAAATGGGAGTGAGGGATATGGTCTTTATAACAGTTTAAACTTTTTGACAAAAAGTTTACAAATTTGACATTTAAAAAATTTCCACACACTATGACAAAAGTAAGCTGTCCTACACATAAAGAGCATATGAAAAACGTAATTAAGTAAATAAGAATGTATTGTATCAAAAAATTTAAACTTTTAAACGAGATTACCATACGAGGCCGTAAGCTCCGCGGCCGATGGGACGAATAGGAGGAACGTATTTGCTGGAGACTTCAAATAAGTTACCGTACACATTGTAACGGACGTATTTACCGCCGTGTATGAGCACTCCTCTGATTTCACGACTATTGCCGTTGCTTGAAGCTCCGCCGGTTTGATTAGCCATGACGACGGCGTCGCGATGGATAAGAGCACTGGTGGTGCAAGCGGCCGGCGGCGGAGGAAGTCGCCGGTTCTAGCGGTGTTTGACGGAGGCTCGTCGGTGATGTATATATGGTTGTGAAATTAATTTTTTGAATTTAAGCCATTGGAATAATCGAAACAGTAAACACGGCTTTGAATATCCGTGAGCTGAGTAGACTTCAGTCTTCACTATGGGGAAATGCGAAAATAACACTCTCCCCATGCCATTTATGCGGCCATTTTTAAAAAATTAAAATTTATGATCTCAACAATTTATCACATTAAAAGTAAAACAAAAAGTTTGAAATTGAATTATTTTAAATATAAAAATGTATATATTTTTTTTGTAAAAAAGTAAAAAGAATAATATGTCACTTAAAATAGGATAAATCAGTATATATTAGGAAATCTTTTCCTTTAAAATATATTTGGTAATTCTTTTTCTATTTTCAATAACTTTCTTAATATTTCCTCTTATTATGAGGAATACATCTATTTTCAATTTTCTAAAGTGATTTGTTCCTTGTCCAAATACTTATATTCGGAAGATAATCCAGTAGTCTAAGATGTCAAGATCTAGTTGAGCTTCTCTCCTTCTCTACTAACTCTATTGAAAAATGTTTGAATCTTTTATTAAATTTTTTGCAACTCATCCTGTTTTTTCAATAAATTTGTATTAAAGAAGTCTGTACATAAATATTTAATCAGATAAAGTAGTTGAAAATGAATATAAATAAGAACAATTCGTCGGTCAACCAGCTGGAAGTCCTATTCCAAGGACCAACTTGTCGTTAAAAATACTCTTGTCCACCACTCCACGTACTGCTAGGGGTGTTAATAAAAACCCAAAAAATCGAACCAAACCGAAAACAAAACCAAACCAACTAAAAAAACTGATACTTTTTGGTTTGGTTTGGTTTGGTTTTGATTTTGAATTTTAAAAACCGATCAAATTTGGTTTGGTTTTGGTTTTAATCAGAAAAAAATCGAAAAAAAACCAAATCAAACCGACTATAGGAGTAGCTATTTCAAATTTATTATTACACCTATATAAATGTATATTTTTATACAAAGTTTCAAATTTTTTATGGTAAATGTTAATAGTTTGCACTTTTAGTATAGTTCTTTACCTTTACATTCTAGTTTGATTGGTAGTTTTCTTTTGTTAAGTGTAAGAATCCATTTCTCATTAAAAATAATATATTTCTAATTGAGTCCTTAAGTTATTCATCACTATTTGATTCAATTATCATCAATATATCTTGGTAAATAATAGATTTCTCAAAGGGCAATTGATTTGATAGTGTTACGATGAAAATGTGGTCGCCGGAGTATGTGTTTGGTAGTGTATGTTTTATATTTAAGAAAAAACCGACAAATAACCGAAAAAACCAAAAAGCCGATAAAATCCGACATAAACCGAATCAAGAAAAAAAATGACTTAATTGGTTTGGTTCTAATATTTGAAAAACCGACTTACTCGGTTTGATTTCTTTTTAGGAAAAAACCGATCCAAACCGAACCATGAATACACCTACCTACTGCTGAGGTTTTTCAAAGAGATAATTAGACCGGTAACTCATATAGTCAAACCTTTTTATAATAATCTCGTTTGTTTCGATTTTAGTGCTATGGTAAAGTATTATTATAGAAAAAATTCATTATAACATACCATGAAAGATTGATTTTAAAGACAACTTGACTGTTATAATAAAATATTGTTATAAAGATTAACCATGATAAAGAGTGTCTTCAAGTGTAGAATCAGCTTGCCACCTTAAATCACAATGGACTGTATTTATGTAAGAAAACCAACAAATGAAAGTGAACCAAAAAGGTAAAAGAAGAGAAGAAAAAGAAGAAGAAAAGAACAGGAAAAGATAGAGGGTTGTTGGGGAAAATAAACAAGAAAATTACCTCCCATTCAACACAAACAATGATATTATTAATGTTTAGGGTCAACAAATGTCGAGATAATATTTGAATGATAGAGTAAGTTTATATGAACGACGACAGAATAGTAGTAGTAATACTTTACTTTCACTAACTTAAGAAATGGGATGTCTCTATGGGAGTCTAATAATATTTGTTTTTACTAAGTTTTCCAATTTTATATTTGAATATTTTACTTATAATAATTGTAATTATTAGCATGCTTTATAAACTTTTCTGAAGGAAGTTTGGCGTAATTGGTAAAATTGCTGACACGTGATCAGGAGGTCACGGGGTTCGAGCCGAGGAAACAGCTTCTTGCAAAAATGCAGGGTAAGGCTGCGTACAATAGACCCTTGTGGTCTGGCCCTTCCCCGGACCCCACGCATAGCGGGAGCTTAGTGCACCGGGTGCTCTTTTAATAACACTACTACAAATCCAGCCAAAATCGTCCAAAAAAACGGACCAAAGTTGGTCGGTAATGGCCAATAACCGTCCAAAACACGACCATTTACGTGTGGACAGTATTTTGAATTTCGGACCAATTTTGGTCGGCCAATTAAATTCAAAAAAAAAAATATTGCCGAAAAAACCAACCAAAATTGGTCACTTTCTGACCAAACTCGGTCGGTATTTTAATTATTTAATTAAAAAATGCACCATCTAGGAATCGAACTGGGGTTTGTACTGTGGCATGATACTATTCTACCACTAGACAATTGGTGCATTTTATTTTAAGACTGTCCTTTATTTCATTTACACTCTTTAATTATATTTTCACACGAAAATAACCGACCAAAGTTGGTCGTTTTTTAAAATAATCGACCGAATTAACAGATCGATTTCGGTCATTTTTTAAATATTAATTATAATTTATTTTAAATGAAAAACCGACCAAAGTTGGTCGGTTTCTTAAAAAATAAATTTCGTTTGGTCGGTTTCTTGAAAAATAAATTTCGTGAGACTCAAAAATAGTTTCCCGCATTTTTGCGCCAAAGAAAACCGACCAAAGTTGGTTGATTTCGTAAAAAAAAATTAGAAAATAAAATATTTTAAAAACCAACCAACTTTGGCCGGTTTTTTGACTGACTAAAATTGGTGGGCCGACCGTGATTGGTTTTTGCAGAATTTCTAGTAGTGTAAATTGATATTCAAATTTACAAGGAATGCATTGATTTCCGTATTTTAGGATTCCTCTTTCATCTTTCTAAATAGGCAGAATAGCCTAAATGGCACTTATACTTGTGCCACTTTGTCATCCCGGTCCTCAAAATTAATGAAGTTTCATCTAGACAACTCTACTCGTTCAAAAGTAATATTTTAAACCCTTCTGACCATGTGTGTTCCTCAATCGTCTCACTGTATTATCCACGTCAGATAAAAATATTCCATGTCATTATTTTTATTCACAAAACTAATTTTGGAAAAGAAAAAGTTGAATCCTAAAGTTTTCTCTCACAAACACATTCATGCCTTTCTCTCTCTAAAAATCAGCCATTATTAGCAGAGCCTACACTATGCTCCAGTCATAGCAGAGCAGCACTATGTTTGTTAATCCTCCTTGTTACGAGCTAGTCTGGCCCGGTGTCTAAGCTCGGCTTTTTTCCACCTCACAATCAGGTAACATAGTGAAAAGAGGGTATTAACCTGGAAAGAAGAAAAGTGTGCAGCAAATTAGCGAGTGAAAACACTAGAAATGACGGAAACAAACAGAAAGGAATGACCAAATAAACTCACCAAGATTATTATCGCAATAACCAACAGAGGCCCAGACCAGAGTGTGGAAAGAAAAATGCCGTGTGAATCGAAGTAATTCTGGCATGCAAAGCTTTTCCAGTTTGCAGCTAATAAATGTTGGACTTTAAAGCATTGGGCTTCAAAGACTTTAAGCATTGGGCGTGAATTGGAAATGGTGGGAAATAAAATGGAGGAAAATGAAAATTTGAATGAAGTGAGCTTTTGTCTTGAACTTTGTCCCTCATTGGTGAGGGACAACTATATTTGTGTGTATATATATACAATCACTTCTTAAAGCTCTTAAAAGGAGTTGAAGAGAATGAACCCTCGCGCCGTCGTCGATCGCTCGCTCGGCTTCGGCTTCGGCTTCGGATTTGTCAAACGATTTTAATTAATTATTTAATAATTAATTAAATATCAGTTAGCTGTCCGAACACTGCTGCAGATTCAGAAGGCCACTCTGGCCGCGGTCCTGGCGTAACCGCGACAGGACGCACAAACTTCTGAACAGACACCTTTTCCAGAACAAACATCACACCTCTTCCAATAATTGCCTATAAATTCTGAGGCATGGCTTCGTTTTTAACATACTGAAAAAATTACAAAACTTCCTTCTTTCTGAAAATACTGCATTCTAATTCGCAGTCTCTCTCTCTCAAATTCGTAAGTGTGATTTTGCTCCGTTTTTTGAGTTCGTTGGTATCCTGCAGTTTGTATTGCCACTGTTGCAGGAAGGTTTATTCCGTTTCATCCTGGGAGGATTTAATCCATTACCTTAGCAACGTGTGAGGGGGTTAAAATTCCTTAAGGACGCACAAGCAAATTGTGGACTCGGAATATTTCTTATTCTTTACTGTTTTCCAGTTTCTTTTATTCTTCTAACAGTTTTTTGATTTTGTGTTTTAACACAGTAGCGGATTACAAGCTTAAGGAATTTTAATACTAACGTTTCTGTGTTGAAATATATATTAAACTGTTATTTGTATTTTGTATACTGGTTTGGAGACTAAAGCCTTCGTGCTTTCTACTCCAATAATTGTTCTATCCGGTTTAAAGTATATCAAAACTTTACCGGAATAATAAACGTACGGGTTTGAAGTATATAAAAACTTCACCATTGTTACGTGTTGTATGTTTGGTTTGGTATTCAGTTTGAAGATATCAAAACTTCACTGATTTAACAAAGTTCTGTTTTGTTTCCAACTTTACAGAAAAAATGACGAATGAAAACCAAACTAATGGAAATGTTGCGGGAACGGGTGCTACTGTTACGAATGTTGCTGCCTCGTCAAGCTGTTCAACTCCTGCTCATGCTATGGCACCAGCAGAAAAACCCAGAAAGTTTTCCGGTATCGACTTCAAACGCTGGCAAATGAAGATGCTCTTCTATCTTACTACGTTGAGTTTGCAGCGATTCATCAAGGAGGATCCTCCGGTCCTGGCTGAAGACACTCCGGATGATGAACGATTTGTTGTAACTGAAGCATGGAAGCATTCTGATTTCTTGTGCAAAAACTACATTTTGAGTTGTTTGGAAGATAGCTTGTACAATGTCTATAGTGTCATGGAAACTTCAAAAGCGTTATGGAATGCGCTTGAGAAAAAGT